GTCGTTAAAGTTTCGTCGGAACGAAGTTACGGAAAAAATTAATTAACAAACGGAGACGTAACAATATTATATATATATTACACTTATAATATTTACTGACAATCACTTTCCAGGCCTACTATAGATTTTAACATACGGTGTTAGTATTATTGGAATATTAGTCTCTATCAAATATACATAAGCCTAGTCATAGACCTATAAGAATAATTTTGTAAACTAAGCTTAGCTAAATGAGACATGGTGGGAGGGGGGGGGTGCATTTTGAAAATAAGAGTTTGAAACTTGACTCAGTATAAAAAGGTTATAAAATCGGAATAATTTCAGACAAATTTTAAAATGAAAAATAGATTATTGAAAACTTTATTACACATAGGCCAACCATAGCTAGTTTCAGATACATAGATGTCAAGCACGAAGTGGTCGTGACAAACAAAAACTCCTTTCTTCCATTTCCACTAGTCCAGTCTGAAAGCACGAAGCCAATTCCTTGACAATTCCAGATTTGAAGGCGACGAATGACCACCTCTCTTAAAAATTCAAATACAAAACAAGAGTGAGGCATTTTTGAGTTATTATATTTGTGAAGCAAACAGAAAGCATGATAACACGACGATACAAAGAACACAAAGAATATAAACATACTGTTGGTATGAACGTGGTTTGTAGTCACCATAAGAAAAACCTATACACTGGATAGTGAAGTGAAGAAAAAGTGTCATTGGTCACTATTCAGTTCTTCACATTATACAGTCGCACAATAACACATATAATAAATAAACTTAGTATTGCCGAAAATTGTTTAATCTCGAAGTTTAGATTCAAGGAGAGTCCAATTCAATCTACACTTTGATCAACGTGTGTTATTGGGTTATACTAGTTTCGGAGAATTCCAATCCTCATCAGTTAACCAAAGAGAGATAAGCCAGACCTATATCGTAGTGAAAAGTTTCAAACATACTGTTTGTGCGAATGTGCTTTGTAGTCATTTTGAGAAAAACCTGTACACAGGAAAGATGAAGTTTATTTATTATATCTAGTATTGTGGACCATATAATAATGTTACGTCTCTAGTCGTTTGATAATTTCTCGTATAATTTCTTTCCGATGAAACTTTAGCGATACAAGTCCTTTCTTAAATAAAACTAGTTTATTCTTCCTCAATACAACTTTGTAATACACAGAATTTCCACAGTCACTTTAACTTAAACACACGCTATAATTCACAATGATTTACACACTTTACTTACGACCACTACCGCGCTTGACACAATTATCCATCTCTATCTTTGCCTGTCTGCAATTATCTATGCCGTCCTTCTTCCCCGCTTTATTTGCCGTGCTTATATATACAAAAATAGAGGGCGCATAGAAAAGACTAAATTTGCCAGGAGTAGACATGATCCTTCTAGAATATCATGACGGGTTACCAGCGTCACGTGACTTCCGCTGTCGTAACACCGCCCCTTCCTTAGTATTGTTCGTACCGAACAATAGTCACTTACATTAAACCAACAGAAAATGAACAATAACTTAATTAAATGTACAGAATTTACAAACACAAAATTAAAATTCAACAAAGTATCTTAATTTTACGGGACGTATCTTCTTCCATACTGGTCTCCGTCTAGTTGGTTTCTGCTTCACTGGGGTTCATCTGCTCCATCAGGATATGTTCCATTATCGGTAACAGTCACACCAGTGGTAGTAACTTCATTAAGGGTTTTATTGTTTCCTTTCTCAAAACTGGGTAGAGTTTCTTCTTTGACAGTGGCTTTTTCAGGTGACACGTCCTCAGCAGCATCATTTGTTCCGTTGTTCACTTCGATTTCAGTTGGAACAGGCTTTGGCATTATCATGGTCCAGGAGCCAACATGCACCACCTTTGGCTTACGTCGCCGACCACATTTTATTCAGAAAGTGACGTCTGGGAGACGATCCACTATCATGGAATTGACACAGCACAACTTCCCGTAACTTTCTCGGTATAACTGTTTGCCAGGACGTCACTTTCCCATCTCCGGAGAAGAATACCATCTTCAAGCTTCAACTGGTCCCATTGTGCCCAATAGTTCTTTTTTACAAGGCTTAAGCTAGACACCTTCTTCCAA